TTTTTTATTTTTATCTTTATTATTTTGTGTTGTTGGATGCGTGTATATATATATAAAACTGTAACTGGAGTGTGTAACAAAAGTAATTTCCCTCTGGGATTATTAAAGTATTTCAGATTCTGATTCTGAATGTTATGTTAGATTGAATAGATTGAAGCTATATACTGTATTTTTCATTTTTGCCACTCTCAAATTACTCTTTTTATATGATTCAATGTAAACCTTTTGAATTGACCTTACATATTGCATATTTGTTAATATAGCTTATTTATTTAAAATGCATAATTGTCAGGTTTATATATTTAGAATTTAAAAAGTGCACTTACACAAAACTAATACTGAGTTTATCTGTGTCACGTACATAAAGTTTATTGAATTCTTTGCATAATAATCAGGCTTGCCTTCATGCTATTGAAACAACAAATATGTATTTGAGATAAATATGCTCATTAATATTAATTTTGAAATTGNGAGATAAATATGCTCATTAATATTAATTTTGAAATTGGGTAATTATACTTTATTAATTCTAAAAAATAAACCTATTGATTATGTATTTCAAATACATAATCCATATTATATAAATGAATAAAGTAGTTGGCTTATAAAGCTTATAGTTATAAACAAAGTAATGTTTGCTTAGTCGCTATGTGAACAGAGAGGTAGGTGGAGGTAGAGCGTTAAAAGTCTGATCCAGCACAGATGACAGACATTTTTCCTTGCCAAACCTTTCTCATACCTGGGCTAATGCTCTCCTGGGTTAATTTCTATATTAATGCTGCTATACGTTTAGGCTGCTGGATGACATAGGGACCATTTTTCCTCTTTCTGTCTCTATTCGCCCCTTGTGCAGCATTTGTTCTACTAACACATCTCTGTTTATAGATGTTGGATCTTGGCCTGTTTTTCAGTGTGATCTTGCTTCTTTTACTGAGATTAACTGTATGTGCTCTTGTTCATTCTCTGACAAGAGGGCTTGGAGCTCATTTTCCTGGCTGTGGTTTTACTGAACGTTTTACTGAATAGTTACCTTTTGTATCTCTGCTTCTTTCTTTCTGTCTGTTTCAATCTTCTTGAACCCCAGTCGGCCTCGGCAGAAGGCTGCTCACACTAAGCCTGGTTCTGCTGGAATTTCGTTCCCATTTAAAGGGAGTTTTCCTCTCCACTGTCGCTACATGCATGCTCAATGTGAGGGATTGCTAAAGAATCAATGACAAGCTGCAAGCGACAATCGTCGCTCATCCAGGAAAAGCATATCTTGCAAGTCAACAACTGGATGCAATCAACTGGTTTCCTTGACAGAAAGTTTTAACCAATCTGACTGTGTTGTCTCTGTAAAGTGCCTTGAGATGGCATGTGTTGTGAATTTGTGCTATATAAATAAACTGAACTGAATTGAATATGCAACACCTAAAGGTAATTTAATAGGTTTGTGTTACATTTATCTAAAATAGTAAACAGGAAATTGTTATGTAATAAAATACCATAAATATAAAAATTTGAGTTGTATACTTTTTTTGAGTGCCGATATTTTTTTCCCCAGGATTAATGTACTGAGGCATACCCAGCATATCTCGATGTTTAGGTTGAGTTTTCATTTTCTGCCTGTCACAGCATTCTGCCTGTAGGCCAAACTTCTTCTAAGCAGTTGCTGTTCCCCACAGAAGCTTGTGGCATTTTCTGGATTTCTTGCTCTCACTTTTGCATAAAAGGCCAGATTTTATACAGTGCATGAATTACAGTCAAGATTTTCCAAGCAGAGCTGTGGATATCTGCAACTCCTCCAGAGTTACAGCGGTCCCCCTCTGATTAAGCTCTACTTGTTCAGCCTGTGAGCTAAGATGGATCATCACTTCTTGGTAGGTTTGGAGTCTTTTCATTTATAAGAAGTTCAAAGTTTAGAGAGAGGTTGTTTAAAAATCCAAGACTTTAAACAGACCTGTCTGCTGTGTTCCTTAGTCATTCTGTTGCTGTTCCCACACAAATTTTGTGTCATTTATTCATAAAGCATAATTACAGAAGTTTTTGAAGGTCGCAGAACTTTTCTTTGATCAGATCAGGTTCATTCTATATAGTTTAGTTCATTTCTTTATTAAAAATGAATATGATTTAATATTGTCAGGATTAATAATATTAAGGTTGTCTGAAAAAGTAAAACAATCACAGCACTGAGTGCTGATCCGTCTACGTCTGTTGACAGATTCCGGTTTATACCAGTTCTCAGGTTGTGGTTGTAGTATATCAAAACATCAAAGTTCCAGGAGTTTAAATATTTCTCTTCATTACCTTAAAGCTCTCACACCAAAGTACATGAAAAGCTCCTTCCCAAGAGTTTCAACACCAGTGAACTGACATCCAGAGAAACTGTGGAAGACGTTTGTTTCCGTGTTGCTTTTCTATAAAGAGAAAAAGAACAGCTGGATTAGTGGCAGAGAAATATCTGTTTCTGTTACATTTACACTGATATTCAAAACATACAAATACATTTTACTAGTAAATCTAAAAATGAATAAAAATATCTCGGAGAATACAAGGATAGCAAATGAAAAGAGAATGTTATACATGTATAAATGTATAAGACTGGTCATTCTTTCTTCAGTCAGAAAACTACGACTACAGTAAATAATGACTGTTTACTTACAGCTGAAGAAGTCAAAGTGCCCCTCACTTCCTTCACCTTCTGACCCGTTTGGACTTTCGAGCGGATTTTCTCTCCGTTTAAGGTGCAGCCTGGACCCTCCACCATCCTGCTGACCCAAGTTTAGAACCACAAGTATTTTTTAACAAATAAAAGTTCAAATCAGCCGCCCCGAAGCTGTTGATGACGTTTTATTTTCCCGGGTTCTGACGTAAGTCTTCTTCTTTTCTATTATGGCGGATCACAATCGACTTTAAGGTGCATACCGCCACCTACTGTACATGAGTGTGTAGCAACATTACCTTACATCAAATTCTATTTTTTTATTTTGTATTCTGTATATAAATAAATTATACTTTCCTTAATCTGTGAATATCCTTTATATTCCCTTCATTTTTATCATTATTTTTACACCCTATAAATAATTAAAAATTGCCATTTTAATAGGTATGACCCACTCTTAATCTGATGATTATTACTTGTTCCCTTCTGTTTCTGTCATTAATGATTCTATTTAATACAAAATTTTTGTACTTTATATAATCCTCTTCCTTTCTTATCTTCATTCCACCTCTTTAGCCATTTTTCCATTTCTTTACTCTTAATAAGTGATTTACCTTCCCCTTTCCCAATAGGAATTGTAATGGTAATTGTTCCCTCTAAAGCCTTTTTTGGTAATTCATCTGCCTTTATTTGCCATTCTAATGTAATTCTTCTTCTTTTTTTATGGGGGATCGCAAGCAACTTAAAGATACATACCGCCACCTACTGTACATGAGTGTGTAATAACAGACTCACACCCTCTACATTCTATTTTTTATTTTATTTTGTGTTATGAAGAAAAATAAACGATGCTCTTCTTACTAAATACATTTCCTTTAAGCCTCCCAATAATCCTTAAAGACTCCATGTCTGTCCTGCCCTCCCTACAATTGTCCTTAATCTCATCCTTTCTGACTCATATAGTTTACAATTCATTGCCTCCCTTCTATTTTTCTCTTGAATATCTTAAATAATATTTATTTTTTTTATGTTATACAGGTACCTTCCTTTCTCGTCTTTATCCCATCTTCTTTTTCTTTTTTTGCCATATTTCTGTTTCTTTACTCTTTATATAACACATTTTCCTTTCACCTTTGTTATTCTTAGAACCATATGAATATATTTTAAGGTAATATTAATTGAAAAATGTATTTCTTAGGTATATATTTGATTTCACCCCTACTTCATTAATTTTTTTATTTTAATAAGTCTCATGTTGGGGATATAACCATGGACGTACTAATATAATTTGCGCATGCGTAGTGTGTCTGTCACTAACTGGATGTGATGTTTTAAGTGTACAGGAACATTATTCCAATGATGAAGTGGTTCATCTTCTTTTATACCTTAATCTCCTTGAACCTCGTTTTTAACCCCCTCCTAAAAAACAAAAAGTCATATGACTTGTTCTTGACTTTTCCATAGCATTACTGCAGCTTTGTTTGTTTTTGTTTTTTTTAAACAGTCCTCTGTATGATAATCCTTAAGTGGCATTTTCTCACTTATGAAGGCAAATTATTAATTGTCTAACATTATTTCCCAACAGCCATGATGAGGGCAAAGACAGGCCATAGGTAATCGTGAGTCCTTGTTGGGTCACCTTTTTCAGAAAAGAGTCTCTGACTTTCTCTGACCAGGAGCCACTGTCAGCTGCTGACTCAGGCACATTCGTCGTCAAGTCCCAGCTGCAATTTTATAAACAATCATGTACATTGAAAGTACTGAAAATATATTATCATTCGTATAAGAAAACTTTTAAAACATAAATATGTGTCTTTCGACATTTATACATATGCCTATATATATTTTTATATATCCGAGGATGTGTTAATTTCATACGTTTTTACAGATAATTGAATGTTTTATTTATATACTGTTTTTTTGTTTTTTTTGCCAAACTGTATTACTCTGGACTCATGTCTAATCGTTGATCTAGATCAGCACCAGCCCACACCAACAACCTGCACAAACAAGTAAAATAAGATTGAAGTTGTTTTCAATCCTGATGTTTTAATAATAAGCATCAGCATCTACCGTCTCCATTACCGGTGAAGCTTTTTTACCCAATAACAATTTTCTCAGAATTCTGTGAACATGAAATACAAGGAAATATTTGATGTACATTTTATATATATATATATATATATATATA